AGACTGCTGATTATATTTTCTAAGTAACATAAGTTTCTATTAATCATGAATGCTTGCACTACCTTATTATTTCTACTAACTAATTATCAATCTTCTATCCTACATAGTGTACTATTATTTTCATAATAAAAAGTGTACTAACATCTACTTATTTATTTTTCTAAAGTATTCATTAAATTGCTTGGAAGTTATGTGGCATAAAGACCAACCTGGCTAATTGCTGCAGGAAATGTAGATTACCAAGTTAAAGTATCCTTCACTTAAGTTCATTATTTTCTGCTTATTTACGCAGGTGCTTGTATGTAGGGGTTTGTGAATTCTACCTAGTGACTGAGTGTGGTGAGGTCTATAGGGGTAGCTCAGCTTGACTTTAATTTGTTATCTGTTTTTGTGGTCTCACAAATGCAGTTACTTAGGTTTTCTATGAAAGGGAGTAATTTACACAATTCTCTTTGTATTCAATCCACCAAAGCAGAAAGCAATTGCTGCTAAGCCAGTTTTTCCTAAGGTTTGTAGAACTCATAGTGAAAGGCTGTGAATATGGCCATATTGTGTATTTTTACAAGTAAATTCAAGATTACTCTAAAGAGAAGATAGAAAGCGACTTCTGAGAGCCATCTGTCTTGCATGATGACCTCTCCATCTGCTGGAACTGTGTCAAGCGACAGAATCCTGAAGCTGTTCTCTACATTCAACCGTTCCCAGCAAGAAACCCTATACAAGGTCACTGAGTCAGGATCTACTCCATGGCACATAACTCTACCACCATTGCATGAGCAGCCATTCGTGAACAATGATACCCAGTCTCTGAACAGAGTTTTGATTAGCAGGCTGAGATTTTTCCATCTTGTAAGCTTGCCTTTTCATTAATTTCTTCTTTTATCCATCCACCATCCATCCACCATCTAATATTTCTTGAGTTCCTCTGCTATGTCTTGGACATGAGAGACCATGTATGAACAAGACAACGTGACCCCAGTCTTCATGCTGCTTATTCCAACCTAATAGAGCCAGTTACTGTCAACTCAAATACATAGCAACACACATGTGTCAGAGTAGAACCATGTTCCATGGGGTTTTCAGTAGGTGATTTTTAAAAATAGATCTCCATGCCTTTCTTCTGAGATGTCTCTGGATGGACTCCAAACACCAACCTTTTGATGTGTAGCCAAACATGTTAACTGTTAGCACTGTGTAGGTACTAGACTTACATTATTAAAACATGATCCCTCACTTCTAGTTCATAATATGGTCGAGTAAACTGATATATGGATAGATGATTCTAATACAGAGCCACCAGTGTGAGGAGAGCAATATACGCAGAGGACAGAATATCTTCTCCACAGCATTGGATGGTATCTTTCTAGAGCCATTTCATATGCATTGCTGAATTTAACTCAGGAGACATTTCATTTCAGATTAACTGTGTCTTTTGATCATCTCTGGTTCTGTTTTCCATTGCAAGTTAGCAATGGCACTAAAAGCTCTGACTTACAAACCTATGAAGTTATTTCGTTGGGTCTTACCTAAGGATGATGCAAGATGATTCATGTTTTTGCAAGAGGGCTGATCCTTTTGATTTTTATGAGACATAGTCATGGTGATTTAACTATTTAACTGACTTTGTGAACTCCCATTCACGAGATTTTAAAAGGAAGTGCATGTTATATTGACATATTTTGAATATTATATAACCAGATATGGGCATCCTGACTTCTCA